TCCCCTTACCTTTTCCAATGATGGTCTCTTTTCAGGTCATGGAGAGGGTTGCACTTCCATTGATGGTTTCCTCCTGAACCAACCGGCTTTTTTTGCTTTGGAATCTTGTCGTGTGGTGGAGCTTTTCGGACGTCAGCACCGCCCGGTGGAATGTTCCTTTTCATGGGAATCATTGGATGTGATTGGGTACACTCTGTACAAGACCGCCGCCTTTGATCTCAAAGATGTCCCTAAGCCAGTATGGGATCCTCGGTGGAACTTGTCACCTGAGCATGATAGACCCCACACTTTCGATGAGTGGGATTCCAGATGGGAACGTAGGTTCGCGGAAACACAGGACTCTGACCTTAGATGGCAAGTCATTAACCAGTTCTGCATCCATGAACTCAAGGCTTGTGGTGGTGTTTGGGGTGAAGGTCCACAGCTTCGCGCACAACCACCAACCTTCATTCCGAAACAAGTGTGCCCCCCACAACACCGCAATCACTGTGCGGCAACAAGAACAAGCTCTATCATGCATAAGCTCCAGAGACAACTTGATGAGCTCTTCCTGCGCAGAGCTAGAGGTTTTTCCTCCGATCAGGACAGACACATTTTTCGGGTCACTGCGTGCAAGTTGCAAAAACGGTTTAGAACCTTGAGCATGCCGTTTGTTTGGCCACATCATGAGTTGATCACACTGGTCCATATCCAGCAAGCCAAGAAATGGGTTTTAAATGAACTTGAGTCTCACTTTAAACGGCTTAAAACTGATAGAATTCAAAAATGGAAACAACGGATCCAGCATTCTGCTAGTCGCGGCTACATCTTCGAACACTTAAGAAATAGATTGCAGGATGAACCTGCAAATCTTGTTGAGGATGACCTTGGCAACATCCTTTATCAACCTGAATGTGCCTTAAAGCACCTCAACTCCAAGTGGGACGATGTTTATGCGGCAAATGTTCTCCATGACCACCCCTTGCAAATGCTGAAGACGATTTGGCCATACATTCATGATAAATCTACACAAGCCAATTTGCCGCCGATTGATGCCGATGTCCTCTTCCGCACTGTCCATAAGCGCAAGACAGCTGCAGCTCCAGGACTTGACGGGTGGCGGACTTGTGAGCTCCAGGCACTCCCATCGCATTGCTTTGCCCCTATTGCTAGGTTTTTTCGATGGATTGAACAAAACCCACAAATTCCACTGCCGGAAGCCTTGACATGCTCGAAACAAGTAATCCTCAATAAGCCAGGACCTTCCAGTGCCATGAACAAACGGCTGATCACGATTCTGCCGGCCCTCTGGCTATCCTACACCGGGGCCAGATTCGAGCAGCTGCAAACATGGCAGATCGTTTCGATGCCTAACTGCATCATAGGGGGAGTTAAAGGGCGAACCATGCCTGAGCTGCACACAGCCTTGAGGCTTGATATTGATGTAGCAAGAGATCGTAAACAAGAGCTGATAGGCATCAAACTTGACAAAGCCAAGTGCTTCGATCGCTTGATCCCTGCCTTCACGGCTTCATTGTTTCTTGCTTTCGGTTTGCCTGCATTCTTTGTCAGTGTTTTTCTTCGTATGTATGACAGTCTCAGGCGTCATATCGCCTATAAAGGATGGATAAACCCCATAAGTACGACAGCCCCAAATGGTGTTGTCCAAGGATGCTCCATCTCTCTCATAGCAGTCAACGTCCATACCAAGGTGTGGGTGCACCTGTTGGAATTGCTTCCTGACCTGTCCATGCGAGCATTCGTTGACGACGCCTATATTTGGTGCCACTTGCAGAGAATTGATGTACTGTCTAGAGCCATTGAACTCACGCGCCTGTGGGATGAAATAAATGGTCAGAAACTAAATGACTCCAAATCATCCATCTGGGGTACGACAGGTACTGCTCGCAAAGCCGTTGCTTGTGCCTTTCCTGACATGAAGTTAGTTCATGCTTTGGACACCCTGGGCACTAGGATATATACCTCAGATAAAGATGACTACAAGTTCAACTCTCAAACATTGCAGCATGTATGCACTGCGATTGAGGCGATTGGTGCCCTTCCCATCCCGAGGAATATTAAGTCCCAACTCATTGGTGCTAAGGCCATCCCTAAGCTCACTTATGGTTCACACATCTCTAAAACACCCAAAGCTGCCCTTCAGAAGGTGCAGAACACAGTCGCTAAAGCGCTATGGCAGGGCCGACCAGGCATCCGTGCCAAGCACCTTGCGATGACATTCTTTGGGAGCCCCCACCGTGTGGACCCTTTCATTGCCATGGCATATAATTGCTTGTTGGACGTGTTCAGGTTTTGCTTTGGGAATGAAATCGCAGTGTCACGGATGCAGGCACTCAATGAATCAAAGAATGGCCCCAAGCATTCCTTGGTTGCAGCCTATCACTCAGCGTGTGATACCCTGGGCCTCACTGTCAATACATCTCTTGCAATTAGCTTCCATGGTTCCGAGTGTTTACCCCTGGAGATGCGACGGTTTTTGCAACAGATTGCTTTACAAGCGCAATATTTCTCGGTGACACATAAAAAGAGGAAAGATGTTTGTAAACCTAGTGGGTTGCTTGATTTGAGATTGAGCACAAACTTCTTGCATCACCCAACATTTCAAACGCCAGCTTTCCCTTCGGCAGTGTCACATTTTGAATCAGTGCTCGTCGGCTGTACGCTCACGAAAGATCGTTTGTGTGCTACGGGTTGGGCTTCCGATTCGTGGTGCCGTTTTTGTGGTAAAACCAAAGAGACCCTTGCCCATATCGTTTTTGAGTGCACTGTCTATCATTCTTGGACCAGCACACCGGTCTTGCATGAATTTGGTGCAAACTTTGCCCTGTTGGGCATCTTTGAACACCCTACCGCAATTGCACGACACCGTATTAGGTTATCTAAAGCTGAAGCAACAGATGCTGTGTCATTTGATGCCATGCTTGACACCGAGGAACTCTGGACTGATGGCTCCTTGATTTGGCAACAACATCACTGGACTGCTACGGCTGCCTATGCCGTTGTTCGGCAGGATGGCACCATTTGCAAATCTGGGCCTGTTCAGGCCCTTACGCTGAGCAGCTACGTTCCTGAGTTGTGGGCCATATGGACTGCCTTCTCTTCTTGTTGCGCACCTGTTCATGTTTACACTGACAGCAAGTCGGTAGCTGAGCAATGTCAGTACATGATTGCAGAGGAAGGCATTCAATCCGAGTGGAAGTGTTTTTCTTGGTGGAAGCAAATTTACCTGGATTCCTGCACACAAGTTGGAGAACCTTGTTGAGAATGAGCTTACAGAAGAGGTGGCAGCGGCTGCTGGCACCACTGTACGCCACATCCGTTTAAACCGGATAGCTGACCAGGAGGCTAAGAAACAGGCCTTGCTCGCATCTCCTGTTCGGCCTGAAATACAACGCCAGCTTCTTGCCGCTACTACGCTGCACCAAGAGTGGCTCACACGGCTTCATTGCCACCTCGACACCTCATCTGTTTGTGATGCAACGAATGAGGATAACCAGCCTCACAGACAGGCAGGCACAGAAGACCTTACTTTGGCTAATGCACCGGGTTTTTTCCCGAAATGGCCGTGGGGGGTGACAGTCGCTGGTTACAGCTGGAAACCAAAAATTCCGGCGACCCAGAAACCGCCGAAGAAGTGGAGGCACTCTGAGCACGATTGGGAGGTCATATGCGCGTTTTTACGGAACCTGCGTTGGAAGACTGGATCAGATGAGAGTGCTGCCTTTTGTGAATTGGCTATTGCATTGCATGTGGATGGCCATCAACTTGACAACCATGCATCTCTGCTGATTCACGACGTGTTGACAAAGGTGCGTCAATGTCTGCAATGGCTTGCTAAGGACCCACAGTGTCAACCTTTTCCAGGTGAGATGTCCCCTGGTTTCGCAAAGTCATGTGGCAGAGTTTTGTGCCAAGGTGCCGTGGTTGGTGCCTCCTTTTACATGTCCGATGTTTCTCGTTTCTTTTTGGCTGCCGCCTTAAAGGCCGGTGCTGGGCGCACGACCGAGTCGTGGAAAACGCCTTTTCCTAGTTAGTGTGCTTCTGCATTGGGGTGCGGGGAAAGCCCCGCTGTATAGTGGCATTTGTGCATATGTCGCCTGCGTGACGCATATGCCGTTGGCGCGTCTCACTCAGACCGCGCAACGAGAGGGTGAGTATAACATGGTATATATATATATATAACTATAACTGGGCTGCTCATAACCAATCCTAATCCCCCACCGGATGACGGATTAGGTATGTTTACGGATTAGATCGTATGAGCGGATTGCGGATTAGGTCAGGGGTGGTTGCAGGATGGAAATAAGGTGGCCCCTGCTGAGATATCCTGGACAGAATGCCCATATTTGTGGCTCGATTTTCATTCCCTTGCTTTGGGTATTGCTGAAGGAACAGCTAGGATGTCTCGTCACCCCACCAGACTTAGAAATCGCCCAGATGCTGCTGCTGCTTGGTAGCTGCTGCTGCTGCCGCTGCTGCTGCTGGTTACCGTTATTGTTGTTGTGGCTGCTGCTGCTGCTGCTTGGTAGCTGCTGCTTGGTAGCTGCTGATGCTGCTGCTGCTTGGTAGCTGCTGCTGCTTGGTAGCTGCTGCTGCTTGGTAGCTGCTGCTGCTGCTGCTGCTGCTTGGTAGCTTCTGCTTGCTGCCGCTGCCGCTGCTGGTTACAGTTATTGTTTTTGTGGCTGTTGCTGCTGCTGCTGCTGTTGCTGGAGTGGTTGTGTGTTGCCATGTGTTGGCTGTGTTGGGGTCGTAATCGGGGGGCGTTGTTGCCACTCTCCTTTTCCCTCGGCCATAGCATGTTGCGATTCCCGGCCAGGCTTTCAAAAGAGCCCCAGCGTTGATTCTTTGCCTAACTTTCGCCACCCCCCTCTGGGCCACAAGTTTTAGGCCCGTCGGGCTCACGAACAGCTCAATATAATGAACCGTGCCTGCGGGTCCGGCCTATCAGAACTATCAAGGTGTATTCTGGGTGCACATCGGTTTCATTGCGTTCCTCTTAGGTTTGCAATTTGTGCGTGCCATGCGTTGCTGCTGGCTTAGCTGGTGGAACTTGTCATTCAGACTTTGCAAGTACTTGTCATTGTACTTTGAAGCGAGGTCTTGCATGTACAACTTCTGGAACATGCAGATTCCCAAAATGGTCTTAGTGATTTACTTTGTCGTCATGATGTGACTTGGTAGAACACGTAGAATTTTTTCTGTCGAATCTTGTCAATCCTTGCGCTTCTTGTGGGACTGGCGGCTAAGCAAACAAAACATTGGCAGCTCTTGCTTTTGCGCAAAGACAAGACTTCCATGACTTCCATGCGCCCAATGTTTCTTGTCACCAAGACCAAGGAACGGGCTTGTGCTCTACACAGATTTTCACCACCAAGTTGAAGGCAGCATGACTGTATATCAATATCACTTTTGGAACCTAGCCTAGACGACAGGATTATATAGGAGGGCCATTTAATTGAGGATTTTTTTAAAAAGGATTTTTTGTTGTTTTTCGTGGCTTCTGTGGCTTCTGTGGCTTTCGTGGCTTCTGTGGCTTCTGTGGCTTGCGTGGCTTCTGTGGCTTTTGGCTTTTGTGGCTTTCGTGGCTTCTGTGGCTTCTGTGGCTTCGTGGCTTTCGTGGCTTTCGTGGTTTCTGTGGCTTCTGTGGCTTCTGGCTTTTGTGGCTTTCGTGGTTTCTGTGGCTTTTGTGGCTTTTGGCTTTCGTGGCTTTTGTGGCTTTTGGCTTTTGTGGCTGTTTGCTACTAGTCCATATTTGTCTATATCTATCCGTCTATATCTATCTGTTTGTCTGTCTATCTGTCTGTTGTGTTGTGCTTTTCCTTTTATTCGCTTTGCAGAGAAGAACCCAAACAAGGAAGCAAGCAAGCAAGCAAGCAAGCAAGAGCTGCACGAAATCTGCACTTCATCTCCGCCACCCGCGCCTGCCACGAAACCTTTCTCTTTGCTTTTCTGCTAACTGCACCAAACTGTTGTGATAGTCTGACACCTACACTATTCCAATGCAAATCTGTCTACCTATCCATTTGTCTGTCTATATCTATTTATCTATCTCTCGATCTATCTATCTTTCTATCTTTCTTTCTTTCCTATCTATCTATCTATCTATCTATCTGTTTGCACTTCAACATCCACAAAGTCCTTCACCTGCCACGAAATCGAAATCGGCACTTCAAGGCCCGCAAAGCACTGCACCTGCCACGAAATCTGCACTTCAAGGTCTACAAAGTCCTGCGCCTGCCACGAAATCTGCACTCCAA